TGGCCCATCTGATCAAGATCCCGTTGTACTCTGAGGTAACCTTCTTTGCTGTTTACTACATCTCCAATTTTAGTGTCATCTGCAAACTTACTAACCATGCCTCCTATGTTGACATCCACATCATTTACATAAATGACAAACAGCAGCGGACCCAGCACCAATCCCTGTGGCACACCACTGGTTCCAGGCCTCCAATCTGAAAAACAGCCCTCCACCATCACCCTCTGTCTTCTACCTCTGAGCCAGTTCTGTATCCAAATGGCAAGTTCTCCCTATATTCCATGTGATCTAATCTTGCTAACCGGTCTACCAATGAGGAACCACGTTGATCGCCTTAGTGAAGTCCACATAGATCACATCCATCGCTCTGCTCTCATCAATCCTCTTCTTCAAAAAACTCCAGTTGGTGAGAGATGATTTCCCGCACACAAAGCAATGTTGACTATCCCTAATCAGTACTTGCCTTTCCAAATACATGTACATCCTGCCCTTCAAGATTCCCTCCAACAGCTTGCCCGCCACTGATGTCAGGCTCACCGATCTATAGTTCCCTGGCATTTCCTCACATAGTGGCATAAGAGTGGCACAACATTAGCCAACCACCAGTCTTCTGGCACCTACCCTGTGGCTGTCGATGATACAAATATCTCAACAAGGGGCCTAGCAATCTCTTCCCTCGCTTCCCACAGAGATCTAGGGTACACCTGATCAGATCCTGGGGATTTATCCACCTTTAAGCGTTTTAAGATGTTCAGCACTTCCTCCTCTGTCATTTGGGCATTTTTCAAGATGTCACTATTTATTGTCCCACGTTCTCTATCTTCCAAGTGTTAGAGGAGTTGGAATCCTTGAACGTGGATAAGCTGTCAGGGTCGAGTGGATTGTTTCCCTAGTATGTTAAAGGAGGTCAGGGAGGAAATAACAGATGTTCTGAGGATTATTTTCAAGTCTTCACTAGAAACGGGTGAGATGCTGGAGGACTGGAGGAATGCAAATGTGGTTCTGTTGTTTAAAAAGGGTACAAAGGAAATGCCAAACAATTATAGGCCAGGTAGCCTTCAGTGGCGGGGAAACTGTTAGAATCAATGCTGAGATCTGATAAACTGTTCCTCAGAAAGGCATGGACTAGTCAGGGATAGTCAGCATGGCTTCGTTAAGGGCAGATCAAGCCTTACAAATTTTAATGAATTCTTTGACAAGCAGGATTGATGAGGAGAGTGCAGTGGATTTTGTCTAGATGGATTTTATAGGTATTTGACAAGGTCCCATGTGGCAGACTGGGCAAAAAAATTAAAAGCCCAAACAAGGCAATGTATTGAATTCGATCCAAACTTGGCTTAGTAACAGGAAACAAAGGATAATAGTCCATGGCTGCCCTTGTGAATAGAAAGCTGTAACAAGTAGTGTTCGGATCCCTGCTGTTTTATTTTAGACACTAACAATTTGGACTTGAACGGGGGGACACAATTGGGAAATTATGGAAATGACACAAATTGCCTATGTTATGGACTGTGTAGCATATAAATGTAAGCTCCCAAGTGATGATGTAGATGTGTTGGAAATGGCAGATAGAGTTGAACTCTAAGTGTGAGGTACTACACCTAGAGGAGAAACATCGAAAGGAATACACAATAAACAAATATACTGAGAGGGATAGATGAAGTGTGGGAACTTAGCATTGAAGTGCACAGCACTCTAAAGGTAGCAGTACAAGTAGATATGGTTATAAAGAAGGCATATGGAATGCTCTCAGAGATAGCAGGAACTGCAGATGCTGGAGAATCTGAGATAACAAGGTGTAGAGCTGGATGAACACAGCAGGCCAAGCAGCATCAGAGGAGCAGGAAGGCTGACGTTTCGGGCCTAGGCCCTTCTTCAGAAAAG